GCGCACGCCACTCATTGGCCTCCCGTGACGCGCTGCGACGACGGATGCGTCGCTCTTCCTCCGTGCTTGTCGAACTATCTAAACGGGAACTTCTCTCTTGAAGTAGTTGCTGCACACGCTGTGAGGAGAACTGAGCGGCAAGGTCAGGGTTAGTTCGGGATCTTTGAAAGCGTTGACGTCTTCTCGCGAGCCATGCAGGCACCTCGTGCTCACCTGCGAAATGTGTCACTGGAATCGGTACTGCGGCGGCATTCTGTGCAGGAGCAGGTGTTGGGTCCTCCTCGCGGGTGATGCTCGCCGCACGACAGACGATCCTGATCCGCGGACGAGGACGAGAAGTCTCTTCTCCTTCGGATTCGTCGCTCGATGCTGCCCTAGAGGCAGCTTGACGCTCTGCGTGTTGTCTTCTTATCACGTCTACTTTCTCGTTCAAAGACTCGTCGTTGCTCGAAGCCTGTCTAGGCAAGGGGGGTTTCCTCGTGACGCGATTCTCTTCTGATTCTTCTTTGGGCGGTTCAGCGTTTCTGATAAGCGGAGAAGGACTTGGGGGAGATTTTGGCGATTTCGGCACAGGACTGCTTTCTGGTTTTGCAAGCGAAGCTGCACGTTCAGGACGAGGAAGATTCAGAGGTACAGGTTTTGGAGCTTGTCGACGTTCTTCATGACGAACCGCAGCAGCTTGCTACAAAAAAAAGAGGCTAACTACTCTATGAGATAGACTTAGGTGTTAGTTGTTTTTAGTCTACCTCTTTCGTGTTTTCTGGAGCAGGTGTTGCATTTAACGAAGATGCCTCCGGGGGTTTCGACCATGGACTTCTTCCAATTTGTGACCGATCAGACTCAGATGACGATGCTCCACTTCTGTCAGCTGGTGCACGAAGACGATTCCATGCTTCTTCTTCTAGCTGCTGACGACGACGATATCTGATGGAACCTTCGTCGAGATCACGAGTACTGAAAGAATACATTTTTTGTATGCGAACAATTTATCCTATGAATGTGGATATCCTTTATATGAACACTTAATCTCGGATGCACCAGAAAACCTAGGCTATAATGTTCCACTATGAGCATGGATACAACTAAGAAGGTTCTGGAATGTAGTAAGAGGGTCGGTCAGTCATGTGACATTCTAGAAGAAACTCTTACGTTATTCTAGACGAAGGTCGATCTCTGTCATTAGCTCGAGCATCCTCGTGACGAGAACGATGTTGATCGCTTTCTAGAGGTAGACGGAATGGACGAGGCAGGTATGACTGTTCCAACGGTAGATATCTAAAACGTATAAACTCAGCTGTAGAAGGATTTTCCTTGGGTATAATCCAACCTCCCGGCAAACTGTGGCATGAGCACGCATAATTCACCACATGTAGCAATGGACTGTGGCAGTCTGGCAGCGTCTTCTCCAGCCGAAAATCTCACTTTACGATTGAAAAGTTCATCAGCGTCAGGCTGAAAGAATTTTCTGACTTTCTACTGCAAGTAAGGTGACCGTAAGAGTGGAGTAGCATACAATAAGCAATGTACCTGGAAATTTCGTAGATATTCTAATCCTTCGGCAAACGTATTCTTCAAGCGAACAAGTTCGGCATCTCCAAGAATGCATTCTCCCTGAGATGATTTAAATTAAGCAGATCAGACTTCAACCCCCAAAAAACTATACCTTGAGTGCTGCATCAAGTCTAGCGACTGCCTCACTCATGTTGGAAGATTCAATTTCAAGAACATCTCGTAAATTGCTCATAAGTCTACTTTCCGTTGCGTGGAATGAATCTATTTCGTTCAAAAATGCGTCTTCTCGTTTTTTAAGATCACGTTGGTGTCTAAAAGCTTGCTGTTGTGGATTCGATTGGGTCATAGATAATCCGTAGTTAACAATGATATACCTGTGAAAGTACTCCTTCACCTCGTCTTTGGTTGTCTCGCAATTCAATGTAAGAAGTTCAAGTCCTTTAGAAAGGCCGTCTGATGCTTCAATGATTCTATTTGACAGCCTACGCACCTGGAACATTTAGAATTGAAAGGAGATTTATAAGGAAAAAATTTATGTATACATTTCCTCTAATACGCTCTCATCTCATCAAAAAAGGTTTGAAAATGAAGACTTCGAGAAAGAAAGCTCCAAAACTTAGCAATATCAGCGCCTATTAATGAAAAAGTACAAAAAAATTGTGATGCCGCTTCTTGCTATAACAAATTCTAAAAGTTTAGTTAATGTGTGGGCTGTAAAATGAATAAATGGCTGACTTCAGGCCATCTGCATAATGGTAAGCGCTTCGGAGGCTGGTACCATCCGAGCCAAAGGTTTTTGTTTGTCTCAAAGCCCCATAAATTTTTGGCTCCATTCAAGATCATCGATAAGTGGAACAAAAGGATGAAGTCCCTTCATTTTTACGACAAATCAAAAAACATTGTACTAATGCTTTCCACTTAAGAAATAATGGTTATGCTTTATTAATTACAGATTAGCCATTGCTCCTTTTATGAAGAGTATGAATATCTACTGTTATGTTATATGAATGATCACTTCAAAGATACTTCTGGACGCAAGTGAGGTAAAATCTAGCATACTAATGCTTATTTGTTTTTTCTTTCAGAAAAAAGTTTTTTTTTGAACAGAAAGATAACTTCATTGATGTTTCATTTTGGTGAAGTTTAATTAATGTTTTTTTAGAGATTATCAAGTATTCAACAAATCCTTTACCGAACCTGATTCAAAAGTCTGGCTAAGTCCCGTTTAAGCATATCCATGTGCGTTTGACGACAATCCTTGCAGGCTTTGCGCTCACAATGTGCGCAAATTTCGCATTCCGCCTTCTCATCGCAGATTTTACAGCGTTCAAGATTGTACCTTAAACAGAGCACTTATTGGGAAATGAATCATTCCGAGCAACAAAACTACGATCGTCAACACCGCTGTCGGTAAGCACGAGCCTCTCGAACCGAGATCGACGTGGACCCGGAAAAACAATGCCTGTCTGATCAAAACACCACAAAACTGTCCTGGGCCAAAGATCAGTGATATAACATTAGAAAGTTTCTATATATGGGTTACATTTTTGTGAATGTGTAGAGAATGAATGTGTAGAGCAATAACGAGCATTAATCCTCAACATAAAAAAATCTGTTTCTAATCACCGAGAAGACCAGGAAAAAATTTCCCTAATACTACACAAATTATTTCAAAGCAAGTCACTGCTCAGTACTGTTTTTAATGAACAGCCTTTCACTTAGCGAAATTATCACAAGAAGCGTATGCGAGATGCATTAGATTGAAAAGTGGCTGATGTCCGTAACTCTGTAGGCCTATAGCGCATCCGTATAAT